CTTCTTCCTTGTATTCTGTTCTAATCTTTGGAGGGTATTTCTTGGTTGATAGGCCGAGCCGGACACTGACGAGGTATATGCTCAGATAACGTTGCTTCCGGATCCAAAGGTATGTCTTCAAGGCCCAAGCATTTTGGGTACTTCTGGTTTTGCTCGCTGTGGATGTTACTTGAGATAGACGGGAACGTAGATTCCTTCTTTGTTGAAAAAATACAACACGAGTGGTGGCAATTAAGCAGGACGAGAATACCGTGGAGAAGGAGACACTTGCACCGCCACCGCCACGGCCTCATGTGTATTCCTTCTGCAAGACGCTGACCGCGTCGGACACGAGCACTCATGGTGGATTCTCAGTGCTAAGACGGCATGCTGATGAGTGCCTTCCTCCACTGGTCAGATTTTTGTCTGCTTTTCTCGTTCCTGTGAAAGGTTTTGCCTTTTGTTGAATATCTGGATAGTGATCAGGATATGAGTCAGCAGCCGCCTAGTCAAGAGTTGGTGGCAAAGGATTTGCATGGAGTGGAATGGCATTTCCGACACATCTTTCGCGGTAAGCCAATATTATAACTTGACAGGCCTTCGTATATGGATTTTTCCTTGAATTTATGGGAATCTCTCTGTCCTTTCTGGATCTTATGGTTTTAAAGGTCGTAGTTCTTGTGTTGTTTAAATGTTTGAATGGACTTTTTTGCCAGTCTTGACGACCAAATGATTGTGGTTCTTAACTAGTTGAAAATGTGCAGACTACAATGTTAAATTCCTTCATGTTGGCTCATAAATGGTGCTCTTTTGCCTATTTCCTGTAGGTGGCTAATCTTTGTTCTCAGATGAGCTAGACTTTGATTGCAAATGAAATCACCATAACATGTTTCTTTTTTGGAGTTCTATATGCTGAACCTGAAAGCTAACTACATCTTTTTCTGGTTATGTTCTTCGCTCTAGCTAGTTTGCCACAGACTTAATAATCTGCTATGTTGTCTTTGAACTAGGTCAACCACGAAGACACCTGCTTCAAAGTGGATGGAGTGTTTTTGTTAGTTCTAAAAGGCTTGTTGCTCGGGATGCTTTCATCTTTCTAAGGTCTGTTCATGTTATACCCATGCTGACATTTTCAGTTCTTTATGTCTTGTGCTAAGTGATTGTTCCATGGTTAAGCAGAGGGGAAAACAGCGAACTGCGTGTTGGTGTGAGACGTGCACTGAGACAGCAGACTAATGTTCCATCCTCGGTCATATCCAGTCACAGTATGCACTTGGGTGTCCTTGCTACGGCATGGCATGCTGTCAACACTGGAACCATGTTTACTGTTTACTACAAACCACGGTATGTAGACTATGTATAATGGTCACATGGATTATTTCACACACAATAAGGCAATTACAATGCATATTTAGAGCATTGAGGGAAATTACCAAAGGGGATGCAAATTTCATTAGTTTTCAAGCAGCTTCTGTTGATTGTAGTGCTAACCTGTTGGATACTTGATTTATTTATTTATTCCATGTGGTTACTCTGACAGGATGTGTCCAACTGAATTCATTGTTCCTTTTGATCATGTGGATTCTATCAAGAGCAACCATTCTATAGGGATGAGGTTCAAAATGAGATTTGAAGGTGAAGAAACCCCAGAACAGAGGTATCAGCAGTCTATATTTTCATATCAATTTATAGATACAGTTACGTTAGGATCACTTAGGTAAAATGACAATCATTTCTGATCTATAAAAGTTTTGATACCTAAAGGTTCACCGGCACCATTGTTGGCATAGGAGATGCTGATCCAAGCAGGTGGACTGGATCAAAATGGAGATGCCTCAAGGTAATTTATCATAGAGGCATCTATTATTGTTATTGCTCAAGATTAATTGAGTGATACTGTGTTTAATTTTAGGTACGATGGGATGAGGCCTCTTTGATTCCTCGTCCAGAAAGGGTGTCTCCATGGAAAATCGAACCTGTTCTGACACCTCCACCCAACCCCGGTCCTATGCCTAGGCCAAAAAGGCCTCGGACAAGTAATGTTCCTTCTTCCCCTGATTCATCCGTTCTAACAAAAGAAGGTAAAATATGGCTTCTATAATCCTATTATGACATGCGTTTCGAGTAAAAATTAACTATCGTAACATGCTACTCAGCTGCTTCCAAAGCAGGCCCTTGCCAATCCCATGAAGTCTCAAGGGTCTTGCAAGGTCAGGACATGATGGCCTTTAGAAGTACTTTTGCAGATAGCAATGAGTCAGATACTACTCAAAAGCCGCTCATGTGGTCGGTGTGTGATGAAAAGATAAATGATGTTTCTGCTCTGAGAAGATCAGTATCAGAGAGGTGGATGCACACAAAGATGCATGAACAAACATACACTGATATATTATCAGGTTTCCAACCTGGTGATTCTAGTGGGTTTCACTCACCAGGTGATAAAAATCTTTTGAAGTCTCATTTCCAAGATCAAGGAGCCAAACATAACTGTTCTCCTGGCTCACGGTCTTTGATGCCTCCAAATTCAAATTTTAGTATTGGTGAATGCAACCTGAAGATGACTCGTGTTGTTGAGTTGTCTTATCAGAAACTTGGAAGTTATAGATATGACATGCAGGGAGTTCATACTGAACTGCAGGAATTAGGAGGTGATCGGCACTCAGAAAATTGGCTACCACGGTTTCTGCAAGATTCTCGAACAGAGAACATGCCACAAACTAGGGTCGTGAAACCTCAACCACTAGCACCATCCCAGAATGATGTGGTGAAGTCCAAAGGAAATAGTGGTTGCAAGTTATTTGGGTTTCACTTAAACAGCAAACCTGTAACATCTGTTAGTACCACACTGACAAATGGTGATACAGAGAAACCTAATCAGGTTTGTCAACAGGCTCCTAAAGATGTTCAGAACAAACTGCAAGGTGGTTCAACCAGGAGTTGCACCAAGGCAAGCTTTCTTTTTTTGCTTAATCAATTTGAGACATATTCTTTTTATGTTCTTTTTGTTTCTGACATCAGTCTTTGATATATGCTATATTGCGGAGGTAATTGTTGCATGCTCTATATCCTCATTATCTTTCTACACTATGGCTATAACCTATGTTGTAGCCTGGGCTGACTTTGTTTTGAAAGATGTAACCCATGTTGTCTTATGTGATTGTCATTGCCAGGTATTTTTTTTTTATCAGAGACGTTTTCTTTTTTGGTACCATAGAATGTAGGTTTTCCTGTCAATATAAAATAAGAAGTATTAATGCAGACAATATTGACAGACCAAAAGAAGTTATTGCCTTTATGCCTTATCAAATAACTTGAGAAAAAACAATCTTCGAGTCTGGAGCATGCTTCATGAAACAAATTCTGAATATAAAAGAACCTTAGAGGTTTTGGTTGACATTTGTGAATATCCATAACCACACTTGAGGTTTCTGGTTCAAGAAAAGGTTGAACAAATTGATTCATAGAACACATAATGGTACCAAATTTTAAATCAAATTTTCCTATTGTAGTTACTCAAAGCTACATTTCCTTCGTGCTGCATTCTTATCCTTGATTTCTAGAGTTACTATTGCCAGCCATTTATGATGCTGAACTATCATGAGAATATGGTAGAATTCCTGGAGTAATCAACTTCCATGACCTAAATGTAGCAAGAACTTAACCAGATTATTTTCATTTCAGGTGCATAAGCAAGGTATTGCACTTGGTAGGTCTGTTGATCTTTCCAAGTTCAGTGGTTATGATGAACTGATTGCTGAACTAGATCAAATATTTGATTTTAAGGGTGCACTACTTGCTCCCAACAAGAACTGGCTTGTTGTATACACTGACAATGAAGGTGATATGATGCTTGTCGGAGATGATCCCTGGAAGTAAGTGTTTGTATTTACTTTTTTCCTGCTTTGCTTTATTTTGGCACAGCTTAACTACTAGGTGGCTGACTCAGTGTTTATTGCAGTGAATTTTGTAACATGGTTCGTAAGATTTATATCTACACTCGAGAGGAGGTCCAGAGTATGAACCCAGGAACATTAAATTCTAGACTCGAAGAGAGTCCAGCCACTTCAGAAGAAAATAGTTCTGGCAAAAAAACAAACAGCCCTGTGCATGGTACTAATCGTGAGAATTCTGAGGGCTGTGCTGAGTTGTCACGGTATGTGGATCTCTCGTCCTGAACTCATCTTTTGTTCAAATAATTTATTTGGCTATTTTTGGCTGTCATTTTCTCATGCTACTAGGTTGTGCTATTAAATTGATAGTTGCATCGATGGTGCAGCAGAGCTTCCTCTCCTTTGAGCTATTGTTTACTAAAAAGACCATCTCATTAACTAATTTCCATAAATTATGATGATGACAAAACACACTTGCGGACTGATTGCTCTGTTTAATTTTGAGCATCCTTTTGTTTTCAGATGATTGGAACCTATAGGGACTTGAGTTTCTAGTCTGTCTGTTGCCTTGTGCAGGTCTCTTGAAGATGTGAAGCCAAAAAAGTTGGATGTAGCTTTCTGTGATGGTTCCAACATATGAGATACTTTCTTATTCCTACAGTTTTGATGGTATTGTAATTTTTTGCTCTCAAAGTCTCTTGTGATATATATGTATATATGCTGGATGGCACCTACCTTGTAAATAGCTTGTCAGATTATAGTTGTAAGTCTAACTTATATATATCCATTTGCCCCTTCTGTGCAATCATTCTAAAAAGAACAAGCTTGTAAACTCTGCCTGGTTCAATCAGAATTCTACCAAGTACTAAAGCGGTTGTTCCTGCATTGTAAATTGTGTATTGTAAACGCCTAATTCTAGTCCCATGCTGTATAACATAATGCTTGTGATCTACTGGTTGATGCTTGGTGTCAATTTGCTGAAGTTTCCAAGACTCCACTGGTTCAGACTCCAGCTGACATTTCTTGGATATTTACTCATGGTGCAACCTACCGTTTGGTCACCGGAGGGGTTTGGTTTGACCAGCACAAATAAAGGAACAATGTACTTTATACACCCATCTTCCCAAATATTGGCTTTGTGAAAGGTGCGTTTGGATTTGTTGGCTCTAAAAAATTGAAGACCGCGTTTAGGGTTTCCATTTTGTATCCTAGTTAAGAAAATTGGTGATCAAGCTCAACAAGGACTAGGGAATCTCGTCCCGGAAGCGAAGCTGGATTGCTGGGTGTATAAATCACAGACAGGAAGACCTCTGTACTTGCCTTCAACAATCCAAGGTGGGTTCTAGCCTAAAGATGCTCCATTCCTGGTCCTGTGGGCATGACAAGCTCCTGTTAGTTCTGGTGACTGTCGAGACGTATTATCTGCATCACTGCCGCTTGTGGCTGGTTGGGTGGCGGCCGGTGACTGTAAAATTGCATAACGCAGAAGGATGAGATCGAATTTGCCATTCATGTCTTGCCAAGGTATGCAAACCCTGACTCGCCTATGAAATCCACCTTAAAATTGATGTCCTATCTAATATGTGCATGCATCGAAGGAATCAGTAGCTACAATTCTTGGCTGCACCTTGTCCCTTTCACCAAAACACTGCACAAGTGGGGGTTTTTACTGAGCAATGGCACTGGAATGTTGCACAAGCGAACAAACAATACTATACGAGAGTGGAAGGGCATGAACGATAACTTGTTTGTATGTGTTCTTGATAGAATGCTTGCTTCGCATTTCAGGGTAAAGATAAAAAATAAAGACAAACTAGGCAAAAATCTTCCAAGAATCCGTCTCCCATGTCTGCGTGCATGTGTTTTTAGCAAATGCACTAGAGATTACCATGTGGATGGATGTTTACAATCGGATAACCTATGCTTGTTTCATTTCAATGAATATTTGACCTACGGATATGGAAAAGAATATCTTTTTCTAAACTAGCATAATATCTTTAAATGGGAGGAAAAGCTTGCAAGTTCTATAGATAATGTGAAAGTTTATGAAATCATGTGAAAATTCATATTCATGTTGGTTATGGAAAATGAGGACCATGTACCTTTTTTTTGTTTGTTTGTGGGTGTGTGTGTGTAGAATCTGTTACTCGCAGCAGGAACTCCTGATCTTTCTACATTTTGTCCGAAGATATCTGCAAATGTGATGTCATTGGTGATTATAATAAGGAAACAATATTGAATGCAACATACTTCAAAAGAGAAAGCATATTCAAAAGTTAAGACCACTGCAGAATGGAAAGAGGATAAATATATAGACACTCGAGTTCATTCTGGTCTTCACGAGGTACGAGCGTTAAGGATACCTTCGTCTACGCGCAATGAGCAAGCACATGGCGTTTCAACAAATGGTTGAAGAGTGCCACCAACTTTTCCTACAATCTGATCTCCGTCTCCTCCCACATCATCAAAATGGACTAATCCAAAAAGAAATTACTCAATTATCTTGATTGATCTCATATGCACATAGCATTAAAACAAAATTTTGAGGAATGTCAGAAGTCTCCCTACAATCAATCCTATCTCAATCTGCTTCCTCATCATCAAAATCGACTAATCCTGAACTCTCGTCAGATCCAATATTTCACATCGCATTTCCACGAATTATTGAGGAATGCCACCGAGTTTCCTACAGTCCGATCTCAATATACTACCACCTCATGGAGACGAACTAATCCAAGATGAAAGTAGAGGGATTCTTTTGTCAGGTTCAATAGACACTTAGCATTTCAACAAATAGTCGAGGAATGCGTCTAATCTTCCTACAATCCGATCTCAATATCATACATCATCATCGAATTTGAGTAACTCAAGACGAAACTAACGGGATTCTCTTGTTGTCAGATCTAATAAATAATTACATGGCATTTCAACGAATACTTGAGGAATACCATCAAGCTTCCCACAACCCCATCTCCATATTCTACCACACTCTCTGAATTAATCCAAGATGAAACTAGCGGGATTCTTTTGTCAGATTTAATATACGCATGGCGTTTTAACAAATAGTTGGGGAATGCCACCAAGCTGCCGATCTTAACATCTTACCGCATCATGAAATTTTAGTAACCCAAGATGAAGGTAACGGGATTCTCTTGTCAGATCTGCTCTACGCATGGCATTTCAACAAACAGCTGGCGAACACCCTGAATCTTCCTACAAGCTGATCTCAATATCTAACCACACCATCGAAATTGATCAAACCCAAGATGAAACCAACCGATTCTTCCCCAGTTCAAAAATGGATCCAGGAAAACGACATAAAAAATAAAACATTTACCCGAAAGAAATTCTTAAAACCCTTCAAAAGAATTCATCAAGAACAGTAGAAATATCAACACAGACCATATATCTGGAGATCAAGCAATTCGCACCTGGAAGTGGAAACGAAACATCGGAGCTCTCTCTCTCTCTCTCTCGCTCTCGCTCGATCTTGAAGTTGGAACCGCGCGCGTAGCGAAAACAGAAGGAAACTGACGGAGCCGATCCTGCCAACTTGGGGTTCGGTTTCAAATACCGATGTAAATGAATCGAATTGGGATTCAAATAGCACAAAATTTATGTATACTTTTCCTATTGACATTTCTATAAAACGGGTTCAATATTTCTTGACCTCTGATTTAATCCGCATCAGATCGGGTTCGAGTCGTGTTTCATACGGCTCGACTCAACCCGCTTCAGTATTTTAGTAAAGAATGTAAAAGAGCAACCTTGATTGAGGCTCTCAACCCGATCCACGACTTACATCGGGTCAATATGATCTCTCAACCTGACCAGCCATCCACTCTACAAGGGATCAATTCCTTGATCCGTTATGTAATTAGCATCTAAATCCATGTATGACCTTCATAGTTAGTTACACATAGGTCCTCCCTTCTCTTAAGTCCACAGTTGGAACTCTTTGTTTTGACATTTTATGCATCGGTTATCCTTTCGTCTTCCATAGCAATCCACTTGCATGTGTACAAATGTATAAATCGTATTACATGGGAGTTCCTTATAAAGTCGTATCATTATCACAATAGTTCTGAATAATATAAAGTAGCTAACAGTACAGTACTGAATCATAAAAAGGACCAGCTTCAGATACCCTTCAATTCTTATGATGAGTCCCTCTACTAGTCGATCTAAATTAAATGCCTTGTCCCTTATGATAAACATTATAAATATGAGTTCCTAGTGCATATCTATCAATCAAAGTCAACAAATTAATGCTGCTGCTTTTTTGATTTAATGTCTAGTTGATGGTGTGCAAACATCCAAGAGGAAGAAGACAATAATATTGTGTGATGGTCATTCACATCACTGTCGCCTCTGAAGCCTGCATGAGAACTCTGAAACACGAATGACACTACACCAGTTGAGCTTATTTTTTGCAGAATACTCTTCTTTAGTTTTCTAAAAGACTGGTACGAATGCATCCATGCAGAAGAATCCAAAACCTAAGACACAACTTCTTTTGGTACTTGGATCACTGTCGCCTCTGAACCTAAATAAAAGCTTAAGCAGTCTTCCAATTGCTTGGGAGACCAGAGAATACATCCAAATCAGAAGAAGCCAATGAAAACAGTCTTGAGGTATTTATATCACTGATGGCTGAATGCGTCCAAGCAGAAGAAGCCAAGAAAAGCTACGAGACGTTCATGGAATAACAGAAGCTGAGACTCAACTAGGAGATAAATGAACTGCAAGTAAGCATCAACAGCTGGATGGAACAGAAGGAGATGAGACATCAATGTTCTGCACCAGATTCAGTTCTTGGTGAACATGTCCTTTGCTTGCAAACATATGGATTATTTCTGCATGTTTTGGGCACCATATAAGACCAAGAAACATTTGGCATTTAAGACCAAAGAGACGAAGAGTTACTTCTACAGAACTTAGAAATTATGTCCAATCTTGAATCTTACCACCCTCATTTCCTTTCATTTCTAATTATTGTACCATGTTTTCTTTTGTCATTTTCATGAGGATGACTAATAAGTACAAAGGAATTTTATGGAATGCTACATCTGATGGCAGTGAGAGACATTTATAACAAAGTAGAAGAGAAGAATTATGGAAACATCAGCATACATCTAACAAAGAGAAAGAATCAGTGACAGACAAGAATCATTCAGTAATGACAGCTTGGACTGAGAACGATGATGACAACATGACATGAATGAAAGGATTAATGAGATTGTATCAAGATGACCACAATTTATACCACAGCATATCATTCACGCTATGATGCAAAAGATATCAAAGAAAAGCTTTTGTTTTCTTTGGTTCATATAGAACATGGAAGCTAAATAGACAGTAAGGGAGAAGGAAAATTGTTACATAGTTAAAAAAGCAAGACAATCTTTCACTAATCTAAATCAAAACACAAGCAACTGACTACCGATGCACTCGACTACAGGATTATATGTGACTTCAAAATTATAAGAAACAAAAATAGAGATTTCTGCCGAGACAATTATCCAACGATACGACTTTTATTCCATACAAGAAAGAGTGGGAAACTGTTATCTGATTACAGAACTAGCTTTAAATAAGTGCCAGTCGGCACCTTCCTCGA